TGTGTGTGTGTGTGTGTGTGTATACACACTTCAGTTACTAGATTTTAAACTGGGTATTCAGAAATTCTTACTGAAAGAAGATGTGCTCATTTTTGTATACTTCTCCCTTAGGATGATATCTCACTACCTCTATTATCCCCCCAAAATGAAGAGGTGCAGAATATAATCCTTGATCTTCACAATAAGGCAAGGTCATCAGTGATACCATCTGCAAGCAATATGCTGAAAATGGTGAGATAAGGAAGGAAGGAGAGACACAGAAGGAAGATCTGCAAAATCTTCAACCAAGGCTCCCTCTCAATCAAGAAGCAGTCCTTTCAGTCTGATCTCTAACTAATCTCCTGCACATGAGATTTTCTGCAAACTTCAACCAAATTCTACTTTATTTTCATAGAACATGCTTACAAAGCCTCCCATAAGCCATTCTATCCATTTGAAATATTCCACCTTCTTCTACCCCATCTCATCTCTCTTGATGGAAATCTTTCTTGCATTTGGAAACCCAATCTCAAATATTCTCTTCTGTATGAATTCTCTTCTAATGCTTTCAATTAGATGTAATTTTTTAAGGGAGGCAGCAGGATAATCAGTGTAATTGCTCTTTCAATTCCCCCTTTGAACCCTTTAGTCCTCTAATGGCACTTAACATATTCCCTTTTTGTTGGTGGTATTATGAGACTTTATGTGGGTTTACCCCACTGTGAAATAGTATATTACTCATATTACTCCTACAGTGCCTAACACAGTACTATGCATGTAATAGATATTCTCTAAAAATTTATTGAATCATGGTGAACTGCAATGATTACTTCTCAGGAGATTAAATGGCTGTTAATTTTTAACTCAAAGCTGGGCCCAGAAGCAGTAAACCATTGAGTATCCCAAAATCTTTTAACATTTGAGGATAGCCATTTAATTCTTAATTTACTCTGTTAAGAGTTTGGGGTCATCACATAACCTTCAGATCCTCTGAAAACAGTAATATTGAATTAAATAGAGAGAATGCTGTCAAGAATCCTTGGCTCCAATCTTGGGCCTCTCAATTAGCCATTAATTTTTTTTTCTCTTTAAATGAGAGTTGGTAATATTTCTTGCACAATGTCTTGTGTGAGAAAAGACAAATTATAAAATGCTTTGTAAATGGGAGTTACTCAGCATTAAAGAGCACTGACAAACTTTCAGGAATACTGAAACAAAGTAAGTAAGAATAACAGTGCTATTCTATAAACACTGATTAAGTTGAAGGCTGTGACTGATTGTAGCTAGAGCTGGACTGGGGGAAAACAAACCTAAACAAACGTGGTAGCCAAGATACACTGGTTATGCTGAGATTTCCTGTATATTTGGTTTCAGAATAAAAGATGATCAAGAGAGAAGGGGTGCATAATGGAGAATGCACTTTCTGTCCAAACCACTGGAAATCACAGGGGCAATATAGCAGCATGATTATGAGAGGAGGCTCCAGAGACAAATTAAATGAACTTAAATTTAAATTCCAACATTTACTAGCAATGTGACCTGGGGCAATTTCCTTAATTTCTCTGGTCTTTAGTTTCCTCATATTAAAAGGACAATAAAATAGGGCCTACTTCACCAAGTGGTTGGGAGGATTAAGTGAGAGAATACAGCAAAAGTGTTTATCAGAAAATAGAGTTACAAGTACTCAGTAAATTATCATATTGTTCTTATGTTTTAATCTCACATGCCACTGATTGTTATTTAACCTTAACAAAAAGTATCCTCAGATCATCTTTTATGGATGGGCAGTGTCCCATGGTGTATACAATCTGGAGTGTTCCTAAGGAGTAGCTTCTATAATCAATGTCATCAAAAAACTCTTATGAGTGGTATTGTAGAGTCTTTGGAACCTAGGTCTAGTTCTATGGGAAACAGCTGAATAGACCCAAAATATAGAGAAATGTTGTGCCCCTTGCCTGAAGATTATAGAGGCAAGAAATCCTTACCTTCTGATCTATCCTAGGGGCTTCTATCCTGGAGTTCATGGAAAGGTTAATCTGTAAGATTCATGAATCCTTCAATAGTATATGCAAAATACCATAGATATAAATATTTGACATTTTCTTACAAAAAGCTATATAACTTTCGGCAGATTCTCAAAAGGTCCTATGACCCACAAAAGATTTAGAAATCTCTGGCCTAGCCTAGTCCTACAAATTATTCCACCTATATCTGGATCTGTGTGAGCAGTGGTTTTTATAGCACTGAGAAATGCATAAATGGTTTGGCGTCCCTTGGAATGCTATACTTATTTTCTAGTCCAAGGCAAGTAAAATAAATTCAAGGTATATATTCTGCTTCCCAAAGACTTTAAACTGAGTTGGGGCACTCAATATATATATATATATATATATATATATATATATATAATAAGTAACAATACCTAGTGATCATAATTGAATATTAAAATTGAAGAATACGAAAGAAGGGGGTTGCAGCAGATTGCTGAAGGAAGTTGGGAATGAAGTAATTAGGAAAGCCATTGGAGGAGATAAAAATTGAGGTGGGCAATGGTGAGTACACAGGAATTAGTTTTTAACAAGGACAGTGATGGTGCTTTTAAATGGTAGGAGTAAAGATTTAAATCTAAAACATAAGTTACTGTGAAAAAGAAGTGACTGTAGCCTAGCTTGATTGTTGAGAGCATGCTGAAGAAGACAGTTATGTGTAATGATTTGATTAGGTAGAAAAGATCCAGATTCTGGAGACTTTGTTGTAATACTTAATAATTTGAGCTTAAAGTACAAGCAGCAGAAGTTTTTGAACACAGGACTTTGACTAATAAATAAATAAATAAATAAGTAAGTAAGTAAACAATATTTGCGAGAATAGAATATGGTTGGAATGTGAAGAATAAAAAAATTATTTTACTAAATTCCTGAGAGACAGGAAGTCTGGAGCAAGTTAGGAGGCTGTCATTTGTCAAGAGTGTGCATTCGTTCTCTGGCATACCAAGTGTATTGTAAAACATTTCTGTTTCTCTAAGGTGTGGAGTTCTCAAGCTGCTGCATCAGCTCAGGGTATAGCGGATACATGTAAGATGGAAAGTTCATCAGATGAAAGACAAGTTGAAGGTAAGTCATGGGAGTCCCCAAGGGACTACATGCTACAGATCACTAGCAATGCCTTGAAAAAAAGTCCCTCCTGGAAGAGGATCTGTAGCTCTCCCTTGTTTCTACACACATCCAGAAGTTACTGAATATCAAAAAAGCCTCGTTCCACCACTTTGTATCAGAACAGCAGAAAGACACTGTCTGCTGTTCCTCTATGGATATTATGTGGTGTGATCCAAAAGCCACGTTGCCTTTCCTCTCAGTTCCTCTTTGAAAGGAATCAGCTTTCAGAAGATGAAATCATCAACTGTTCAAAAAGAAAAAAAAAAAAAAACAGTTATTGTTAGCTTTGAACTGCCTTATTTTATATCTCTTCTTCAGCTTTAAATTCTTTAATTACTTCACCCATCTTCCCTCCTTCCCCACTTGTTTAGGATAATAGACAGTTGGTCTTGCACCTTCCCAAGGTTTATTCTCTACCTTCATTCTTGATAACATTTGAACTTTAAGCCATCAATAAGCACTTCAGCCCTGCCTCCCTTCAAAATCTCCATTTGCAAAATTCTCCTACTCCTCCTACAAATATCCTAAAAGTTCCTAATATTCCACCATTCTTCTTACCTGCACTGCCACATAAAATGTACATTTACCACATCTACCTTCTTATTGCCAGTTTGTATCTCCTTCCTACATTTTCACCCCTATAATTATTATAATATCAATCTTACCACATTTTTTTGATAAAAGCAACATATGGTAGTTCCCTTCTTGTACGGCGATGGCATGTAAATTCCACAGGGGAAAAAGTCAAAAAGAAAAAAAAGATTTCTCTTACAATCTAGGTCAAGCATTCTGTATTTGTCTTGACTTTCCGTGGTTGAACATTTTCTGAGTTATTTATGCTTCCCCAAAAGACTGAATATCTTTTCTGGAAAATGCATATTATATGCCTCAAAATTTTCTGGATTTTAAATTAAAAGTACTCAATTTTCATACATAAAATTTCTTCTAACCATCTTATTCTCATTTTTTAAACTGTAAATTGCTTTGAGAAAGAGACATTCCATTAACACATCCATCCCATTATAATGCTTTGTAATCTGAACGAGAACACAGCCCACTGGGGATCTTAATTTGGTCCTTGGGAATTACTTTTACAACTGGAAAGAGTTATTTTCCCATTAGTGTAAAATGTAGAAATGAAGCACTGAAGACAGACAGCAAGATATGGAAAAGTCAAAGAACGACTCAGCAATGAAGGTACAAGTCCACATAATTATCACTAGTACTGTTACTTAAGAAGTAAATCATTCAACTGGACCTCTTCTTTCTGTTCAGGTAAACCATGTGGTGAAAACATATTTCAATCACCTAAGGCTGTCTCCTGGGAATCTGTCTTCCTTGACTGGAATAGTCAGAAACTTAATTTCCTTTATGGTATTGGAGCCAATTCACCAGATGCCCCAATTCATTCTTACACCCAGGTATGGAGGGAGGAGTTGAATATTTTATTAATTGTTGATTATTTCTTTATCCTTAACAATTAGATGATTTTTGCCTCCCCTTTCACCAATACACACACACACACACATTCACTCACAAACACATGCGCACACATACACGTTCTCTTTCTCACAAATTCACACATTAGAGAATATCACTCTATTTGATAATTTTTTTTTATTTGAACTTAAGAGACCTTTGGGATGCCTAACAACAGACTTCTATTATCAACATCACTTCTATCTGATCTGAATGAAGTTCATCACTTTTGAAGACACAGTAATTCTAGACAATAGTAATATCTAGAGTGGTTCTAGGCACTGGGAAATAGGTTACATTTATCTTATCTTTGTAAGCTCTTGCAAACCCTCTCTGTCTTGTTGACAACCTCTCCATCTACACCCTCACTTCATCCATATATGTAAATGGTTTGTTAAGCATATACTTTTTGAGCCCCTGGTATATGTGCCAAGTATTCTGTATTTTCAATTATGTTAAAGTTAATTATTACATTAATCCTATGTGGAAATTACTAATTTCCACTTTATAGATCAGGAAACTGAGGTTCAGAGAAACTTAAGTAATTTCATTAGGATCACAGAATCAGTATGCAGCAGAGAGATTTGAATGTAAGTTTATGTTCTTTTCACAATTGCTTCTTTTCCTGAGGCCACTGTCCTCAATCAGCAGCCTAATTCCTTACAATGCCCCTCCACAACTTTTGCCTAGTAGAATACCCTAAATCATGATACTTTTTGAACTTCTCTCTAACACTAAAACTTTATTCATGGAGGTTAGGATAAGGGACTCTGAAGCTAGATTTATGAAATAATATGATCTAAATTGTTAATGAGTAGCAATTTGATAGATGATGTTTCCATTTTAAGAAAACTTCCAAAGTCTTAAATGAAGAGTACAAGATGTAAATGTACAAACATCCAGATTTGAAGCATGGCAAATAGAAAAATTGGAGAGAGGAGAAAAAAGATATTTTTACTGACATTTTAGAAGTGCCCCTAAGTTGTGTCTACTTTAGCAGTAGACGATGCAATGTGCCGTCTATAGCAACTACACAAAGGGATAGAACTGCATTAATATTGCCAAGCAATGAATATGGGCTTTTTATTACCCCACAGGAAGGCCTGTGTGTGAAAACCAAGACATAAAATAGCAAAAAACAATGAGAAGTTATAATGTGAGTTCCTAGCAATTTCATCCATTTAATTTTTTGATAGCTTCTTATCTCGAATTGTGCAGCAGAAATGAAATAGTAAATTCAAATATGGTCTGTTGCCTCACAAATAAAAAACATAAAAGAAAAACAAAGCTTTAAATAAGTCCCAACTGAAAGAAAAGCAATAAGAAAAGCTTGCAGGGAGAAAGTGATGGGAAAGCAAATTAACCATTAGCCTTTCTAAAGGAGACAGGAAGGCCACTGAGAAGACTAAGACAGTAGAATAGAGCAGTTGTGATACTTTATTGAGGCCAGGAGGGATGGTGTCTTCAGGATGATATAGCCAATGTGTATAACCTAATGAATTTATCTTCAGGTGATCTGGTATAACAGTTATGAGATTGGATGTGGTGTTGCTCACTGCCCAAGCGATGAGTACTTTTATGTCTGTCATTACTGCCCTTCGTACGTATGATTTATTTTATATCAATCCTTTATAACTCTTTACTTCAAAGGCAATGCTTGATCGTTTCTCATTGGCTTTTTTCCCCTTGCAATGGGAGGTAATAAAATGTTATTTCATGATGGAAAGAAAAATTTTTAAACAGGAGAAGAGAAATGTAAAGAAGAGGAAAGGCTTTAAATCAGAAGCATGTGCTCTATGCAGAAGCAAAATTAAAATTTGAGAATTGTGGAATTCTAAGTTCTAGGACATGTGATATATTCTTTAAATGTCATAATTTAAGATCACATCCGTAAATGAACTCTCACCTGGAAAACGCACGTATCAGTGCATTCTGGAAAGAAAAGAGCTTTCTTTCAGACTCATTTCCAGTCAAGGTTGTATTTCACTCATATTCCTCAAAGTTAGGTCATCTGTAGGACTCCCAAGAGATTCTAGAACTACCCCAGCCTTTCAGAGTCCTTGATATTTCTGGATTCAGCAGAAGATCAAATCATAAGACCTGGAAAAGAGTAAGTGTTTATAGAACAGTCCCCTGGATTGGGGAGACCCTTTCAAATCCTGGTTTAGTTCAATGTTCATGCCAGTATCACCACCTCTGGCCTCAGAGTATTCCCCATAAACTTGAATAGACATATACGTAGAAGATAGCTCACACCCACAATAAGAGAAATGCCATGAAATCACAGAGGCCATTTTGAA